GCTGACGCCTCGTAATACATCCAAACCCCACGTATGGTTTGGTTGGGCTAAAGCTCGTCCACGTCACTTCAGCTAACATGATTTGACGGGTCCCGATGACAACCGAACATATATTCAAACAACTCGGTTGGGGCCGTTCCGTAATCGAACCGTGACGAAGTTCGGTGACCCTTCTTTTTTCAACATCAGACTCAGAAAAGGAATTCAGACTCGACAAAATATCGAGGTATCCTTATTTATCGTACATTAATCATTTATTGCACATGCGCATTACACATCGGCATACTCAATAATGCATTCATACATTCATACGCGCGTCACACATACATTCATTACATATGCGCATGGGACATACATCTTGAAGTCCAAATCAAAAGAATACAATAAACCACACGCCTTCATCTGTTTGGGCCCACACTGGTTAGGCAAAGTCAATAAGACCTTCCCGGCTGGGAAATATGCGAAAGAAAAATCATTACACCGAGTTCTTCAGCTCGGTATGATAAAACCTTTACTTACACCAAGTTATTCAACTTGGTAAGGCTGATACTCATGCCTTTATCGAACTCTTCAGTTCGATAGACTAAAATCTTTATTTTTACCAAGTTCTTCAGCCTGGTAGGGCTAGAAAGCCTGTTCGTAACCGAGTTCTTCAACTCGGTGGGCAAATATATCATATCGATAACATCTTTGCATAAAGATCGATAGCAATACAAGGGGCCTGAGTGCCCGCACCAGCTCAAAATCTATACTATTATGATCATTTCAGACGCAAATTCATCCAACGCGTCCTGTTACACACGAAAACCGGGTATCGAATTACCCGATCAGGCCAACCAGGCCCAATTCATATAGCATTTTCACGTAGTTGACTATCCATGCAGTCGACTCCATTCGTCAATACGACAGGCCAAAGCCTAAAGCACGACCAGAAATTTGGCTCCACGGGTCCCAAAGTACCCGGCCAACATCGATACATTATTTATCACAGCAAAATTGACTATTCATGTGACTTCAGAACAGTTCTATTCATAACATGTCCTAAAGTCAGGGGCCTACTGTTAATACCCAATTTTGGCCTCGCCTATTAAAATATTACACGTGAATCCGTAAAATATCAATTGTTTTATTTTATGGCCCAAAAATAATACCGCTTGTAATAATAACGAGCCCACTAAATATATATATATATATACCCCTATGATGGACGTCATAGAGATAGGTCTGAGGGGCTATCATTATTTTTATTTTTTTTTTCTCTCTAATCCTACAAACAGAGGCGGTGCCTTCATGGCTCCACTTCTTCTTTTTGTTCTTCATTTTTATTCATTCAATCACAGAAATACTCAACAGTAATCACATATAAACACAATATTCTGAATCCCCCATGTTGATACAAATTCGCATATCAACAACATGGAGGTGAATTCTTAGTTTTTGTTAGAATAGAGACTTAGAGTCCTCTGGTTCTACTTGGTACTTGCTTTTTTGCTGCAGATTATATACTTGAAATTATATATTGCTTACTATATTTTTAAAATTTATCCACAGGATGGTAGATCACGGAGAAAGACCGACTTCTAGCCAGCATGATGATATGCCACCTGAGAGTTCACCAACATTGTCATCGCCAATTTCTGGCGATGATTGTATGCGTACTTCTCAAGACGAGATGAGTCCTCCTATGACTCCACCGACATTGGGTTGTGACGAAAATGAAATGGCAGCCGAAACTGGTGTACTCTATGGAAACCTTAAAGCAGAAATATGGAAAGAGTATGAGAAGCCAGTGATGGTGAAGGGAACATTAAAGGCTCAGTGCAAACATTGCAAGGCATATATGCTAGGTAATCCAAGCCAAGGAACTAGTCACTTGAGAAAACATTTTGAAAGATGTAAAAAAAGAAAGTCACAAGACATTAGACAAATGGTCCTAAAAGGCAATTTTGCGAAGGAAAAATTTGAGTTGTCGCCCTATAGTTTTGATCAGGAGCTATCACGTGAAGAATTAGCGAAAATGATCATCAGGCATGAGTATCCTTTGAAGATGGTTGAACATGAAGGCTTTAAAGAATTTGCTAAAAGTTTGAATCCTTGCTTTAAAATGGTAACAAGGAACACAACAAAGAGTGATTGCTTTAAGATTTATGAAAAGTTGAAGGAATCCGTGATGCACGTTTTTGAGATGAATGAGAGCCGAGTAGCAATCACAACAGATTTGTGGACATCCTCTCACCAGAAGAGAGGATTCATGGCGGTCACTGCACATTATGTTGATAACAATTGGAAGTTGCAGTCTCATATTATCAGGTATCTACAATAATTTTTGAATTAGAAACTTCTTGTTTTCTACTAGATTGTATACATATACAGTATTGCCGTAACACATTGGATTCTTGATGGATGATACTTTTTTTTTTTTTTTTTTTT